ATTTAGGTCTCTTTATTGGCTTTCATGAAAGACAATCTTATATATCTTTGGTGACATTTATTCATGAATATTTTAAACATTTTAATAATTATAAATAAATAAATGGTATAAATATTAGTTTCTACTTGTTTTTTGATATATAAAAATATACTTTTTAAATGTTGATTTTGAAAAAAAAACATTGATTTAGAATCTGAGAAACTAGCTAAACTGTATTTCTAATTATTTATCTATAGTGATAGTTTTAATTCATTCTTCCCGTCCTTTATCATTTCTTTTTCTTGCCTTTCTGCATTTTCTGAGACCACTAGTGAAATGTTGAAGAAAAGATGCTTTCAAGATTGCATCAAAATTATAAGGTTTGCTGTAGGTTTTTGAGCAGGTTAAGAAAGTTGTCTTTCTATTCCTAGTTTGTCAGAATTTGATATGATGGGTGTGAAATTTTATCAAATCATTTTTCATCAATCGAGATGGCCATGATTTTTCTACTTTAGCCTGTTTATGTGAAGAATTACATAAATTGGTTTTCTAACCTTAAAACAATCTTATATTCCTGAGATAAACCCAAAATGTATTACTGGATTTATTTCTTTCTACAGGATTTTGTGGAACCTTCTGGACAGTGAAACTATAGAAATTTTAAATTATTGATTCAATGGCCCTGGCTGGGTGGCTCAGTTGGTTGGAGCATTGTCCTGTACACCAAAAGTTTGTGGGCTTGATCCCCAGTCAGGGCATATATGTAGGTTGCAAGTCTGATTCCTAGTTGGGGTATGTACCAATCACTGTTTCTCACATTGATATTTCTCTCTCTCTCTCTAAAATAAAAAAATATATCCTTACCTGAGGGTTGAAAATATTGATTCAATGTATTTAATGTTTATATAGCATTTAAGGATCATTTCTTCTTTATTAAAAATGGTTCTTCAAAATTTCCTCTTATTACTTTTTATGCATCTATAGAATCTGCATTACTGTCCCATTTTTAGTCCTTAGAGCAAGCATGCTCTAAGGAAAATTTTTCATGCTTACTCTTCTTAGATGAATAAATTTTGGTTTTATTGATTCTCTTATATATTTGTTTCTACTTCATTTTTTCTTTGCTATTTATCTTAATTTATTCTGTCATTAATTTTCTAACTTCTTACTTTTTATACTTCTTTTTTTCCCACTTTTTATACCTCTTAATGTTCAAGCCTTTCTTCTTTCCTTATAGTATGCTATTAGGCTATAAATTTTCCTGAAAGTACCAGTCTGGCTTCACACACACACACACACACACACACACACACACACATTCTTATGTTATTCTAATAATCTGAGTTTTAAATATTTTCTAACTTCCATTATGATTTTTTCTTTGAGCTATAACTTAGGCTTATACATGTCTTAATTTGTAAACCTGTGCAAGTTTTCCAGGTTCTTTATTGTTGTTCATATCTAACTTAACTGTGTTGTGACTAGAGAATGTAGACAGATAGAATACTTTGAAATGTCTTGAGGATTGCTTTATAGACTAGAACTTAAATTTTATAAATGTTCAAAACACATTACTTCAAAACAGTACATTCTGCTTTTATTAGGTTAACTGTTCCACATATGACTATTAAACAAAGCCAAATTGTCGTATGTATTAGTTTGCTAGAGCTGCCATATTTATTCTCTCAAAATTCTGAAGGTTAGAAGTTAAAGATTAAGGTGTCGTAGTGTTGGTTTCCTCTGAGGCCTCTCTTCTTGGCATGTAAGATGGTCATTTTCTCCCTGTGTCTTCACATCATCTTTCCTCTGTGTCTGTGTCTTAATATCCTATTCTTATAAGGACATCATTAGATTAAGCATCACCCAGGGGACTTCATTTTAACTTAATTAACTCTTTAAGACTCTCTCTTCAAATATGGTCACATTCTGAGGTACTGATGGTTAGAACTTCAACATATAATTTTTGGGGGTCGGGGAGAGCAGACATAACACTATATTTTTTAAATTCTTTATATTCATAAAAAATCTTCCCTTGCTTCATTAGTCAGTTACTGAGAGAAGCATTCAAATCCTCCACTGTGATAATGGATTTTCTATTTCTCTTAAAGTTCTGTCCATTTTTGCTTCATATATTTTGAGGCTATGTTATTAATGTATATGAGTTTAGAATTTTTATAGCTATTTGGTGCATTGAACATTTTATTATTATATAGCTACCCTTTGGTAATGCTTTTTATCTTGTGTGTTTTTTGTCTGTTTAAATATATATTAGCTTTATTTTTGTTAAAATTTGTGTGGTAAATGTGTCATCCTTTAATTCTCAACTATTTTGTCCTTATGTTCTTTCATGTGTTTTCAGTCTGATACTATTTTTCTTTTTAACAGATTATTAAGTCCCTTGTATTTCTTATAATTAATGTTTTTTAAATTGTTAATACCAACTTATTCTTTTGCGAGAGATAGTATAGCATAGTCTTTAAGAGAACAAACTCTAAGAAATACTGACCCGGTTTGAATACCAAATTATATTGCTACCTGTGTAACTAGGTAGTAACTGTATAACTACTTGAAGTACTCTTTGCTTTAGTTTCCATTACCATAAAGTAGCTATAATAATAACTCTACCTTGTAGTGTTGTTATTAAGCAAATTAATGTACATAAAGTGCTGAGAATAATGCTGGGCACACAACAGGATATATATATATATATTTATATGTGTGTGTGTATACACATATATCCTCTTATTATTTCCTTATTATAATTATCACTTTACTACTTTTTGTTTTCCTTTTCTTTCTTTTGTATTGTTAGAATATGTTCTTTTATATTCCATTTATTTCTCCCCTCCAGTTTTAAAATTCTATTCATTGTTCATTCTTTTAGGGGTACCCTAGAAATTTATCAAGTATACTTAAGTTATCAAAGTTTAAAGTTAATTTTTATCTTTACCCCCTCTTGAAAATACTAGAACTTTACAGCACTTTAACTCTGATCATCCTTATTTTGATTTATACACTATCATTTAGTCTAGTTTTATCTTAATTTTAAACCTCATGAATTATTATTCTTGCTTTATATAGTCAATAATAATTTAGTTTTACACACATATCTATTATTTTCTTTACTAATCATTTATTTTTACAACATAAATTTTCAATCTGGTAACAATTTCTGCTTGAATTATAGCTTTTAAATTTTGTCTACTGATGCCGCTATTTCTGTTTTTATTGTCTGAAAATACTCATATATCATGCTTTAAAAAATAAATGTAACAATAATAGGTTTTGTCAACAAATTTAGATTGATAGATATCTTCTTTTAGCATACTGAAAATAAAATGCCATAGCTTGTAGCTACCATATTTACTATTGCAAAGTAAGACTGCTTTTAAAACCATTGTCTTTGGTGTTCTTCAATGTTAAGATGCTTTAAATACAAGTTTCTTTTTAATTTGTCCTGGCTGGTTCTTAAATCTGTGGATTGATGTCTTTCATCAGCTCTAGGAAAATTTCAGCCATTATATCTTTAAATATGCCTCTACTCTTCATTTCTTTATGAAAGTCTTATTAGATATAAGTTAGACCTAATCATTCTATTCTTCATGTCTTTCTTTTTTAATAAAGATTATTTATTGATTTATTTATTTTTTAGAGAGGGAAGGGAAGGAGAAAGAGAGAGAGAGAGAAACATCAATGTGCGGGTGCTGGGGGTCATGGCCTGCAACCCAGGCATGTGCCCTGACTGGGAACCGAACCTGCGACACTTTGGTTCGCAGCCCGTGCTCAATCCACTGAGCTACGCCAGCCAGGGCTTCTTCATGTCTTTTAACCTCTTTTATTCTGCTTATTTGTTTCTCTGTGTTACATTATGATTCACCTCCTCAGACGTCTTCCATTTCACTAATTCTCTCTTTAACTGTTAAACCCATTCATAAAGTTTTTAAAACTTTGGATGTTTTAATCACTAGAAGTTATTTTTTATTAATTTCAAAATTTATTTTATCATTTAAAAAACAAATCTCTTTTTAATATATTCTGTATCCAGTGAGTACAGGATTTGAAGTCTTTCTGGGTCTGATTTGGCCTTCTGTTATTCCTACTGGCTCTCGCTCAGTATGTATTGTTTCTATGTGTACTTTTTCCTCAAGAGCACTCATGCGCGAGCGCTCTCTCTCTCTCTCTCTCTCTCACCCCCACTCCTCCTGTCCATCCTCCTTCTCCTTCTTCTCCTCCTATATCCTAGTTCCTATCTCTCCTATTTGCTTTTACTATGAGGTCATGTTTCTTAAAATTTTTAGTGATTCTTTGAGGCCTAGTTTGGTGGGGCCATTAATTTCTGCTAGTTCCTTGGGAGCACATCTTACGCTGGGCCATTTTAAATGAAATTATCAGCGGAGCTTTCTTAGAACACACAGGTATTATAAATTTGGTCCATCAATTTGTCTGCTCATTGGCTTGCCACTAAACATTTTTTAGGGGAACTCTTTCTTCCCTCAATTCAACACCAAAACTCAAGACTAACAAATTTCCTTGTAGATTAGAAGTATGGTGAATTAAAGAGACCATAACCTTTAAGGTATTAGGTTTATGTAGGGAGCTTCCTATTAGATTCTTCACCTAAGCAAACTCTTGGTTTTGATCTCTCCCCCAACCAGGGCCTTATATGCAATTGTGCACAGCACTAATCTAGGGGGCATTTTTCATATAATTATATACTATAGTCTATATGACATATATAGTGGGCCTATTCTCATTCCCACAAGATGGTAAAAACTAAACCAAGTTCATCAATTGTCTCAAACTGAAAGCTGAGTTAAGCACTTTGGTTTTATATTTCTACAACTGATGGAACTTAAATGAAGAATAAAGACAGTGTTTCCTCCCTGCTGAAGTCCTCAATAGCTTATGCATTGTACTGATTTGCCAATCATCATTTCAATTAAAATATACACCACTTGACCCATTAAAGAAAACATAGTATGATAGGAGGGTGCTTATTGCTTTGCTTTGTTTATTTTTAGATTTGGACTTTCCAGTTGTTCTCCAGCCTACAAATGCAAATGAGAAAACACAGCTTATCAGAGAAGGAGCTCGAAGTTATTGCACAGACTCTTAATACTGAGCCCTTGGAGGGTCCACAGCACTTCCTCTTGGTTCAACCATGTCTCCAGATGGTCATGGGGAGAGGATATGGGGCATGGGATGCTGTGAACTTTTCCACATTTGTACTTTATTTTTAGGCTAGGGAAAGATAACTTTCCCTACATAACTTTCCCAGTACGCAGACTTACTCTTTGAGTAGAATTCCTAATGAAACATTCCATTTCAGCAAATAAAGGCCTGAAGAATTGTTTTATGCTTCTTGCATGAGGTAAGACAGTGGCACTGGGCAGGCTTTGTGAGCCTGCCCTTTATGTGAGCCAGACCTCACTCCTTACATACTAAAATAGTATTCCAAAACAGAGGCTGCTTTTCATCCATGTAACTAAATGCAATAATCATATCTGCCATAAATATCATCAGCATAATATACATTAGAATTTAGGAGGCATGTTTCATGTGTAGAGATTTTTCCTTGTCAATATTCAATATGGCTACAGAAATATTTCAAGGGGCAGAAAGAAATTATTAAGTAAAAAAAAAAACATATTGTTTTAAAGCATATTTTTGAAAGATTAAAAGTTTTAATTTACTGAAACTGACAAGTAAAACCAGAAAGAAACACGTTTCTTGTGTGCTTTTAGATGTGCATAAAAAAAACAAAAACAAAAACCCCAAATTGGTTAAATGTTATAAATGATCCAGAAAATCATTCTGAGCCCAAATTAGTCCCAAACAATGTGTTGACAATTTTTAAGCAAAAATAATTTCTGTACAACTGACCTAGATTAGCTTGACTAAAGAAAAAACAAACAAACAAACAAACCATGAGGTAAAGGGTAGAATTCTAAATTCTATAGCCTAAATTGAGAGGCATATCATTTATCCCATTTTTGGTGGGATTAATTACATTGGCCAGAAAATGTTTATCTTCATGCATGTTAAACATTTAACCTTAGAGGTCATCTTTGCATTTATTTATTTGATCCTAATATTCATTATGTGGTGGAATCAATGTGCTATTTCTGAATAGTACAACAACAAGAGTGCTTGTTTTTCCAGGTCTTTCTTAGATCCTTATATAACATTGCATTTTTCAAGATCTTGTTATGTTTTATATGATATTATGAAATGCCATTTTCTTTTTTCTTTCTCTCTTATTCCCCTACCACCAAATTATAGTTAATTGAGATAAATATACTTTGTGGAAGTTGGTGTGATACCTCTAACTGTTCTGATGTTATTAAAACTCTGCTCTAACTCTTGAGTTGCTGGATTTTTCTTCTTTTTTTTTTTTAATCAAAATAATCAAGTAGAAAGAGGCCTGGTATAAAAGTTAAGAAACTTTCTAAAAGTTAAGAAACTTTCCCGCTAATTAGTCCTTTGACCAACTAAGATGAGAATAATATGGCTAATCTCTCTATGACTGTTTTCATATCTGCTGTCATCTTCAATAAGACCATGTGAAAGAGGTAAGGTGAAAGAACTCTGAAAAGTCAAGTGTTTAGCAAATATAGCAGTCTTACACCTATTTGTATATGTTGGTACACACAGAAAAATGTAATGTGAACTTCTTATGTATATAAACTCTCACCAAACAAGACTCATGAAGATATCCAATACTATCAGTCCCAATGAAGAGCTCAGAACTTGAGACAAATAGCCCCAATTGTGGATAATTGGATCCACTACATTTCCTTCCCAAGGACTGAAAGCAAAGGTCAGGCCTATTTTTGAGTAACAATCTGCACATAACAAAGCTCACCTTTTCTTTCTCTCCTAGACCTCATTTTTCTCTGTCACATGAAATGTTTTACTTCCACTCCCAGCTTGTCCAGAGAGCTGGTGCAAGAGCGTCTTAGATGAGAACAGGGCATGAATTAGATTCAGAATCAGATGGTGAAATTAAATTCCTGAATGGGTCCTGACCAATATTTCCCACAAAGGACTAGTTTCTAGTTACAATGATGTATGGCAAATGCAAGCACATGAATGCCTATAAATGAGAAAATTAATTTCACAGAATATCCTGAGGAAATTAATACACACAGACGCAAGGATCAACTCTTAGTCTGAGGAGGGGCCACTTAAACATCTGTGGGAGTCAATAGGTGCTGTCATCTGGAATCACCAGCAGTTATTCTGAACTCACAAGTGTCTTAACAGAAAAACATCAAGGAAATAAGGTACATGTTGCCCGTGATCTTTAGCAATGGTTGCATTGCCCTGGTTCATGCAGGCTCAAATGAACCACCAACTTCAGTGGCTCATTACCTGATCCTGGCCTCCAGGCTACTAGAATAGGAGATTTCACATAAAGTTTCATAGGTCATCCATTCATCCTTTGCCATCTTACATTAGAATATTAAAAATACACATTTTTATTTACCAAAATATACATTTCTTAATTTTTTGAGAATAAATGACATTCTATTTCAAATGATACATAGGCTAAAACACATTTGACGTGGCCTAGCCTGGAAACACACTTACCTGGCAATGCACTGCCTGAACTTCTGATATATGAAGAGAGTTCCAATTAAGGCTATATAATCTCTGTGGTAGATACCTTGGTATTACCTATGGTAATAATGGCCCAAGATGTACATGTTCTAATCCCCAGAAGCTATGAATATATCACCTCTTGTGGTAAAAAAGGACTTTGCAAATGTGATTATTAAGAACCTTGAGATAGGAAGATTATACTGGATTACCCAAGTGGGCTCAATCTAATCACATGGGTCCTTGAAAATGGACAACACTACCTGGCTGTGGAGGAGAGATGTCACTATAGAGAATGGTCAGGAAAATGCAATTGAAGATCCAAGAATGGTCAGAGGTATGACAAAGGTGGAAGAGAAAGGGGGCCATGAGTCAGGGTATTCAGGCAACCTCTAATAGCTAAAAACCTCAAGGAAATGGATTCTCCTCTAGAGCCTCCAGGAAGAAACACAGCACAGTCACCACCTTGATTTTAGCTTAGTACACCATGTCAAACAAACTTCTGACCTCCAGAAGTTGAATGCTGAATCAGTGCTCCTCACTTGTTTGTCCATTGTCCTTCTTACTCTATATTTCTGTTTATTCACTCCTTCATCCTGAGTCTCTTTAACTTCATTTTCTCCATCGTCCCTTTCTCTTTCCTATTTCTCAGTACTCTATCTCCATCCCTGTATCCTCTCCCCTTTTCAACTCCTACCTTTCTTCCATTTGACCCTCATTTCTGTTAGTCTCCCAATCTCTCTGCTCACCACTGTCAACTTTATACCTTAAATCATTTACTGGTCTTCTAGATAAACTGAACTATTGTAAATATACCCCATTTTATCGGGGAGGGAGAGATTGGAAATAGTCTGGTAGCAGAATATTCTTAAAGGAATGTCTTTTCCTCTCTCACTTCAAACACAAATAATCACAATGCTAATAGGCAAAGAGGGAACAAAAATACTTTTCAAATAATTCTCTGAGTGTATTAACAAATAGAAATAATTTACAGTGACCACATTCATTCTTTGAATGTATAGAAAGGTAATTTATGGAAACATTAATTTTGTTTTGTCCTTAGTAGTTTAGAAGACTCAAAAGAATGAGGGTTCTACTACAGTGTTTCATCTTAAAAAGGTCACTCTTGTTAGTATAATCTTAACAGGTAAAAAAAAAAGGGTAGTCAGACACCTGGAAAATAACCACCCAGGCTTTTGTTGAGGAGCTTGGGCTGTTAGAAGGGCCATTAGAAAGGTGTGTGCTGAAATTTGAGGAGGACAAGTATCCCCCATCATGAGTGGCTTCTAAACTAAAGATGGGTTTGGGAGTTCTTTTGGTGGAGAGGGGGGCAGTGTTCCCAGAGTAGCCCAGACTTGTGCCCCTACAGGGAAGAGCCTCTATGATGAGAAAACACTTGGAAACTCAGGTGAGAAAATGCAGTCACAGCTTTGCAACCATATGAAAGATTTCTGTGCCCACATCTGGCCCTTCAAAGGAGTCAAACAAGTTGGACACGGAGACCTTAGGGAAAAAACAGGCTGGGGCAAGATAAGGGGCTTGAAACTCAGGAGGACAGAGACATAGACCCTTGCAGGCCCCTTAACCAAAGGAAAGGGAGAGACTCTCAAAACCTGACTGAGGTAAATTTTTTTCTGCCATAATAAACTACAGCTCTGATTCAGAGTGATATTAATTTAGAACATGGATTTTTTTCTTAAATGCCATTTCTCCATAGGCTTTACCAGTCACCCTACCTAGAATTATAATTTTCCTGCCTCACCCCTTCTCTATTTTTTTCTCTCTTAGTACCTTCCACCAACATACTTTTAATCATGATTATTGTCTATCTCCCACACTACAAGGACAAACATTTTTGTCTGTCTGTGTGTCCTGCTGAATTCTTGGTGATTAAAACAGTGCCTGACATGGGACAGACGTTGGGGAACACTTGTAAAATTAGTAAATTAACCTGTCATAGAAAAGAGAAATCCCTACTTCTAGAAAAGCAAAAGCTACTAGAATCCTGCTTTTAGGGAGGCTTAGCATTGAATTAGTGGAAAAATTAATATGTTAGCTTGAAACCCAATCAAACCTCTGACCCAATTACAGTTTCTACAGCCTTCCCTCCCTTCTCATTGATTTAAAGACAATTGTGCATTTCCAGGGCACCAGTCCTCCAAGCAGAGAAAGCCTCATCATCATCTCCAAAAGCACTCCTTTTCCAGCGTGCAGCTTTCCTAAGCACCTGTCATACTAGACTTCATTTTATTTCTGAGCAATTCTAGACTACGAAGAACCAACAATTTAGACTATACTTAGATAACCAGTTTCTGTAAAACAAATCCATTTCTAAATTATAGATGGCTCAAATTAGCAGTGATTTCCAGAGCTATCAATAGATCTCTCATCTGTATTTTATATGGTGCTAAAAACACAGTAGGAAATGAATAAATACTTATTGGTTAATTGATTAATTCTCACAACATATGCCATTTCTTAGAAAAGCCTTTTTCCAAAAGGATATGAAAACATCTTCAGTGCGAAACAACCTTTTGGAATTTTTAGGGTTCTAGGGTTGTCCCCAAGAAGCAAAACTAAATTCTTAGAATCAAATCAGCAGTTATTAGACAGCTGTTAACACATTCTTCTCACCACTGGGCTGCCAATTGAGTTTTCTAATAGCTGAAAATCCAGTTATCAGCTTCTCCAATGCTTGACAGCCTTGTTCCCAGGTCCAGAAAGAGGGAATCTTACCTAGTGAGGGATGTTTTTTTCCTTTTACTTCTGAGTAATCTGCTCTGATGTCCAAGTCTCTCCACTCCTGAGATATCCAAATTCATCTTTATTCAAAGTTTCATCTACAACATACTTTCCTTCCTGGTGAAGAATAATTGGGGGAAATTTTTTAGGGCAGATTTTTACTTTAATAATGAAATTTCAACATTTTCCTAAAGTGTTTTAGAATAATCTATTTGTATGTATGTATTAACTATTTACTAAACTGTCATTTTTAAGACTATTTATTATAATTTTAGAAAGCAGTATTTTAAAACTAATCTAGGTTTAAAACTAACAAATGAGAGGGGACTTCCAGCCAAGATGGAGGCATAGATAGATACACTTTGCCTCCTCGCACAACCAAAAGAAGGACAACAACAAATTTAAAAGCAAAAACCAACCAGAACTGCCAGAAAATTGAACTGTATGGCAATTCAACAACCAAGGAGCTAAAGAAAAAACACTCATCCAGACTGGTAGGAGGGACAGAGATAGGCAGCTGGAGTGGCGAGGACTCATGGCAAGGCACCAGCTGGAGGACATGGGCAGGAGAGGTGGTGGCTGGCTGACCAGGCAGTCCCACATTTGCATGTGGATAAACTGGGAAGAAAAATGGGAGCAAGACAGGTCATGCAACCCAGGGTTCCAGCACGGGGAAATAAAGCCTCAAAACCTCTGACTGAAAAAACCTGCGGGTCTTAAGGCAGCAAGAGAAATTCCCAGCCTCACAGGAGAGTTTGTTGGAGAGACCCATGGGGTCCTAGAACATACACAAACCTACCCACTTAGGAATCAGCACCAGAAGAGTCCAATTTGCTTGTGGGTAGTAGAGAAAGTGACTGAAAGCTGATGGAGAGCAGAACAAGCAGTACTGTTTCCTCTTGGAACTTTCCATCACATACAGCACCACAACTCAGGGACATGGGTTGCCCCACCCTGGTGAATACCTAAGGCT